TAGTATATATCGTTTACATCTGAAAAGCAATAAAGACTTATTTGAGACCCTCTGCTGACACAAATCACAGCAGGAACAGTTAGCCTTCTATTATATAGGCATCCTTTATTGCAAAGTCGATCTTATTCATGATAGAGAGGATGTGCACACACTAGAGAGAGAAAATACCCTCAACAGGTCTCATCATGCTATGATCCCCTCTCCCCAGCCTTCCAGCTCCTCAGGATCTTGCTCGTTAACATGCACATATGGTTCATTTTTATGGACCAACCCAGGTATCCCAGCTCACATGTGGCTTTCAGGACTACAGTTCCATCTGAAACTGACTGCGTCGCCCTGCTGGGCCTATATGGACATTAACTGAAATTACTTCTTTTATTACTATTAATTTATCTACTCATAAGATGATTTCAACAAAATTTCACAAAACATGAGGTAGGAACTTTTCCTTTTACAGATGAGAAAACTGAGGCTTAGAGGAGTTGAGTGACCTGACCAAGGTTATAGCTGGCAGCCAACGAAGTATAGAACTAGAACCAACACCCCATTCAGACTCCCAAGATAGCCTGCCTTTGGACTTTAGACCACTCTACCTTCTTAACAGAGTTGGCCTGAGAAGAAAGGGGTTTGGGTGGAGATTTCCACCAAGGTTCAGCCACAAAGATGCTGAGGACACACAACCTCAAATAAGGCTGTGATGCCAATGACCACGAGTGACCTCTCTGCCAGGCTCTGCTGAATCTCTTCTCAAACAGGGCTCAACTCAGATCCACAATGATTTGAACAGGACCAGCCAGTGATGGGGTAGCTAAAGTAACTGGATCCCACTTGGCCGACTGTACAGGTCCAGTCACAGACCTGGTGGTTTGAAAAACATGCGCCAGACAAGTGTGCATGCATGCCCATATCCCGAAAGGAGAAATGGAGGAGACAGGGTTGTGGTGTGTCATCCTCCCTAGGAGTACTTTCTGTCCTTCCTTTTGTCTTTCTCTAGCAAGTGCGCACACACTCTAGCAAATTAACACAAAAAAAGAAAGACATGAACACTAATGTAATTACTAGCAAAGCCACACCCTAGCATGACCTAAGACCCACCAGAAGTGCCTGCCTAAGCAGGAATTTTTTTGGGTTTTTTTGATTAGTTTTTGCTATAGGGCATGTGCACTTGCCAGAAAGACAGAGACAGACAGACAGACATAGAAAGTGAGAGATCGCCCCCCAGGGAGGATGGCTATGCCACAATCCCTTTTCCTCATTCTGCCCTCAGGATCATGGGCTTGCACGCATACATGCCAGGCGTGAGTTTAAACTACCACGTCCAGGACTCGAACTGTGGTCAACTACATGGGAGTCCAGCAACATAGCTGTTACACCAACTGCTGGTCCCCTGAGCAGGAATTTACTATTTACTATTAATTTACTATTCTAATCAGCACCTAAAGATAGAATTCCAGTCTCCCAGTCTTTATGGGAGAATAGGGGTCTAATTTTGATATGCCCTACTTACCAAACAAACCCAGAAAAGTTTCACATGGACTGACCTCTCTCCCAGCTTTTTGTAATTTCTTACTTCCTTGACTGAGGAGCCCTCTACTCTGCCCCTTATTTGCTCATTATCCCTTTTAAAAACTCCTCCACTATGTATAAATCGGAGTTCACAATGCACTTTTTTTTCAGGTTTTTGCCAGGGCATGAGTACTCGCTGAAGAAAGACTGAGAGGGAAAGTGAGAAATCACTCCTCCAGGGAGGATGGTCACACTATAATTCCTTCTCCTCCATTCTCCTCTCTGAATTTTGGGCTAGCACACATGCACACATGCACGCACATGCACCTGGTGTGATTTTTCAAGCTAGTAGGTCTAGAACTTGAAGCACAGTCAGCCTTGTGAAAGCCCAGCACCTGAGCTACCATGCCACCTGCTGGCCCCCACGCTGCCCCCCCCCTTTTTTTTTTGCTTATTTCTATAGTATGTATGGAATAAAATTTGCCCTTGCTAACTCCTGGGTCATTGGGAAAATCTGGACATGTTTTTCTATGTAAAAATGCATCCTGACTTTTCCAACGACTCAGTAGTATTTGTCTCGGTTTATCTTTGAAAAGATAAATCTAGCTGAGTATGGCTTTGAGCACCTGGACACCCCGGAGACTAGAGGAATCATCCTGAGGTCAGCCAGAGAACCCCTACTCCAGGGTTGAAGACCACAAGGCTGGGATTCTTCCCATGTTTTCAAACATGTTTGTCTATTTCTGGGCAACAATATCTCTGACAATCAAGTGAATCTGGTGGCCTGCTTTCTCGCTCTCCTTCTCTCTCTCTCTCCCAGCTTGCTTTCTCGCTCTCCTCTCTCTCTCTCCCTCTCACTCTGTCCTTCTCTGGTCAAAATGAGTAAATAAATAAAGTTAAATAAAAGAATTCTAAAAAAAGAATTCTTAAAAAAAGAGAAAAGACAAAATATATTCAACTTACATCTATGTATCTGTATCTACTGGCAATCCATTGGTTGCTTAACATTGTGTAAGATGTTTAAAAATATGCCATCCAATGGAGGAAAATAGAAGGAGCTTTTTTTTACCCCAGTGGTTTCTCTGTGGCAGGTACTGTATTCTTTAGTTAACAAATAAGGATATTGAGGTTAATCCTATTTCCCAAGGTCACACAGCTACTCGGAGGCACAGCTGAATCTAAACCCAAGCCTGTTTGATTTTCTTACACCACTGTGCCCTGTTAATGGAATGCCATGACTATCCAGGGTAAGAAATGGCTCTGGAAGATGGCAAGATTTCAATGACGCCATTCACTGTCCATCCCCACGGCTCTCACTCACCAAATGGCTCTATTTTTCAAATACTGCATTATTCAGAAATATGGCATTACATGGTCCTATTAAACAATGGATAAAGAATGAAGCCTATAGGATGTGGTTATTAAATATTTAAAATTAAACACAAATGGAAGATTTAGAACATTTTCCCTCTCACAAAATTAAGCAGTTTGCCTTGTCAGCTGCAATACTACAACTCTTCTAAAAATTTTTGCCATGTTTTGTTTTTTTATAAGTTTCTGTTTCAAGATCAAGAGACAAGAAAAAGAAACACCGTCAACATGGTCTCAGGCCACATCTTTCCCCCAGTCTTGGAGCAAGTCAGGAACACGTATGCAGGTACGCAGCGCATAAAGCTTGACCCAGGAACCAAATTCCCATCTTCCTTCTGTCACCAGTGCCACAGAGCAGTACACAACCACTGAACCAGCCTGCTGGGCCTGCCATGTACTATTTTAAAGTTCACTCTCTAATGGCCGTACAGATAACAAATAGCACGTCTTAAAATATTAACTTTTAGGATAAATAGGATTACAGCCAACTTCAGAAAGCCATATTAAAAATTTCTCACTAGACCAACTCTTTATTAAATCTGCTATGCAGAGTATACATATACACGTTTTCCCCCCCAAGCACCCTAATAAAGTTACTCAACAAAGTTATTCTTAGACCAACTACTTACATTGAACTGCTGAAATAGGTTCAAGTTATTTTTATTAACTCTTTTCACAGACAGATAAAGGAGGCTGTTGAGTAAGTTAAAATATATGTAAAGACCGGAAATAATTACTCACTATATATTGTGGAGTAAATGCCACTAGCTTTCCTGAAATTTTTTTCACTACTAAAATCAGAAGCCAAAGGGCTCAATTTACTGTGAGATCCCCCAGCTGGTGTATCAGTGTATTATGAAACTTTTCTTTTAGTAGCCAATAAAATCATTCTTCTGCCTTGTTTCACGATACCTTAGTAACAAGCTTTAATTCTTTTCCCTCTGTAGTTCTCAATGCTTTCACTGAAATGCAGGGTTACAATGAATCTGGCCAGGTCATCTTGGCCACAAACACCATCTTTCTCCCAATAACGCCTCCCCCAACCTCATCTGATTAAATGTTAGCAATACAAAAGGCCCATAGGAGGCGCCTCATACTCATCCCAGATACACAGAGTGCCTTCCCTGTGACTGGTACTGTTCTAAGTTTCTCCTATTCAGAACACATCTAATATTCGAACACATCTTACTACCTCTGAAAGGCCATACTGCTGATAACAGGTAAACTCTTCAACACTGAGCCATTTGTAGCCTAGTGAGGGGTTAAGGGGGCCAGATCCCACATAGCCAACTGCAGTGTGAACTCCAATCCCAACTGCTTGAAAAACATGATGGGCACGTGTGTGTCGCAAATCCTGGTAAGGTGGAGAAATGGAAAAGACTGTGGCATGAACATGCCCACTAGGAGGTGCTTTCTGTCTCTTCCTTTCTTCCACTCTGCCCCATCTCTGCCCAACAACTTCATGGTCACATTCACACTGGCAATTACGAACAAACAAACAAAGCTACAACAACCAAAAAATGAACACAGGAACTCACTTAATTGTGCTCTCCTCCTATAACTCTGCCCAACAACTTCATGGTCACGTTCACACTGGCAATTACAAACAAACAAAGCTACAACAACCAAAAAATGAACACAGGAACTCACTTAATTGTGCTCTCCTCCTATAAATCTGTTGTCTTAGTCTTGTGTGTATGTGTGTGTGCTGCTCTAATAAGATACTAGAGAAAGTAATGTATAAAGAAATTTATTTTCTCACATTTCTGGAGGCTGGGAGTTCAACATCAAGCCAAAAGCAGGTTCAGTTGTACAGTGAGAGCCTTTCACAGCTTTCAGGATAGTACCTTGTTGCCACACCCGTGGGAAAAGGGGAATATTGCATCCTCATGTGGTCAAATGGGTCTGGCAAGCAAGCCAAAGCTACAAAAAAAACTTATTTTATAAGGGCTTTCATTCCAAGGGCGGAGTCTTCACAGCTGATTTACCTCTTACAGGCCCCACCTCTTAATACCACCATGTTGGCAACACCTGAATTTTGGAAAGGACACCTGAAAACCATAGCACCTGTGGAAAAAGCCAATATTCATTTAAGAAAATCTAATCTCTACCGTAATACACAAGTAATAGGCTGAACAAAAGCCCAAAGTATCAAGATATGAGTGAGAATTTCCTAAAGTAGATTTGATGTGTAGAATGTACAGTCTGGGCCTGGCCTCCCTAGTGGGAAAGGGAGCTGAATCCCACATGGACGATCACAGTTTCAATCCAAGTTTCAGCAGCTTGAAACACACACCTGGTGTGTGTCAATATGTGTGCAAAAATCCCAATGAGAGGGAGGCATGGCAAGAAAGGAATTATAGCAAGACCAGGCCCTACTGGGGGTTGCTTTCTTCCTCTGTCTATCTCTCTCTCCGTCTCTCTCTCCCTGTCTCTCTCTGGCAAGCACATGTGCCCCTCTGGAATTTTTTTTTTTAAGCATGTATAAGCTGCTTTACATTTGATTTTTCTCAGCTTTTTCTGGTTTAAGTGATTCATGAATAAACGATTTCCTATTGCTTTACATTTTCTGGGATCCTGGGTTTCCTTACCACACAAGGTGACTTCAAAAAGTTTGTGGAAAAATGGAATTAACAACAAGTTTAATTTGATGCAAAAAAAAAAATCTGAAATACATGCATAGTTTTTTTTTTATAATATACACTGTAAAGATGTGTATTAAAGACCCAGTGTATATTATGTTTCCAGAAGATTTCTACTAATATCACTGCTACCTTTTCTTGAGTGCTTATGACAAGGCAGAAATTATTCCCATAGTTTTCTATAAATATTAACAAAGATCCCATGATTATTGCTGCTTTTCTGCAGATGGAAAAAACAAATCAGAACACTTAAGTAATACACCTAAAGTCTAACAGTCAATAACTAAGATATGTTTCTCTGGCTTCATACTCTAATCTCTTAACAAGTATACTATCAAGAGCTGGTTAAGTTCACCTTCTCAAATTGTCACATCATTTATTATGCCAATGGACACACGTATCACTTAAATATGCTTACAAGAGAAGTCTTTACTCAAGGCAGTATGAATGCCTCTTTTGATGTAACATAAAATAAAATCATGAGATGCCTTTACTGAAGATGTAAAACAGCAAAGTTCACAGGATGTGCAGTCCTTCATTTGTGTGCAGAATCAAAATTCTGTAGATATGCCTGACAGGTTTTGGCCTGCTCTATGAAATGTCACTAACAATATACCTCGATTTACTTCCCCAACACAAATCCTCTTTTTTATGCAAGTGGGGGGGGGGATAAGGGAAATGTACAAAAGATGAGCCAACTTTCAATGACAAGCAGTAGAAAGAGAGAGGACAAAGGCTCAGAGGAGGAGCTAGAAAGGAGGAGCGCGCTCCAGGAGTCCACACTAGCTGAACAAATTGCCGGCCTGTGCCCTGTCCCACACGCTGGCAGAGGCCACTGAGCTGCCCCAGGACCAAGTCACATGTGCTCTCTTCTCACGCATCGACAGACTCTGTGCAAATAAGCAAACAGCCCCCAAGTGACTGAGTGCAGCACCCGGGAGCCATCACATTGTAAAGAAGGTTTTGTATCAGAAAGCTGAAAATCAAATATGTGAGGTTGACATTGTGCGTACAAAGCAACTGATGTCGACAAACCTCCCTAGAGATCAAGAAAGCATAAAAGTTAAGTCATTTTCCCAAGTCTCATATACAGTAGATAAGCCTATTAAGAACATTGTAAGCTATGCTAATTGGTTCAGGGGTTATATATCTCTTTTGTTTGTTCCAAGTGAGCCTTCACAGGCTGCTGTGAATTGGGGAGAAAGACAGTGTAATAAATCTATCTGAAACAAAACAGCATTAGGGTTTGAAAGATGCTAATGAGCTTCAGTGTGCCAACTTGAAAAATTCCCCTTCCCACCCCCACGCCATATTACCAACTCCTAAGTTATTTCTAACCAGCACAGGAAAAAGCTGTTGAAAAATTCTTCAAATCTGCATGCTGTTAATTCTTTATTACAACTAATACTTTTAAAGTTAAATCAAGTGTCATTTGAGATAGTAACACTCATTTAGTCATTTTAAATGAAAGCATGTTTTTCTACCTATAAAATATTAGAGATAAATTGTATTTACAGCCTGTCATTGGAAAATTCAATAGACACTAATTAAAGAATATTCTTTAGAACTTAGAACTTTCCATGTAAATCTGTACCTAAATTTAGAACTGAAGCTTTATTTTAATGGGGGGGAGAGAGTTAGTTGGCTCGTATCCTAAGATAAAGATTAAAATGAGAGTCAGCCCCGGTGGCACACAAGTAGCACCAGCACTGGGGAGGCTAGAAGCCACAGGGGAGGTCCTGGTTTGGTTCCTAGGCCTAACTGAACACAGCGGGCACAGCTGCATGTGTCTGTAAGCCAAGCTAACTGAAGGCTGGGACAGGAGGACCATGACAGAGTGAGATGGTCAAAAGACCTACCTCTGTCTCTCCCTTTTCCCTTCTTTTTTTCCCCCTCATAAACAGAAAAGATTAAATCAGACATGCAGATAAAAGCACTACAAAAAAAAAAAAATACCAACAACAACAACAACAAAAACACAAAGTCCTTTAGAAATGTTAACTGTTATTTTAAGGTCTTAACAACCCAGGACCTCAGGACCAGTTCCACAGGGCTTAGGTGCTATGCAGAAGAAGTCCATCCTACCTGAGCAACCAGGGTTAGTGTCCCAGCCTTAGTAATGGCTTGAAAAAACACTCCAGGTATGCATGCATGTGCCCAGGACTGACAGGAGGGATAACTGAAGGAAAAAGAACTGTGGCGTGACCATGCCTCCTTGGGAGAACCTTTCTCTCTCTCTCTCATGAAAACATACATACACTGGCTTAACAGCTTTAAAAAGGGGGGATCAAGGAGGGAAACGCAAAATAAAATAAAATAAAATAAAAGGCACAACATTTAAAAGATACAAAAGTGGAAAACTGTCTGTTGATAATAATGTGTATGATAGTATTTTCGACTGGACTGATATGCAGTGTATTCAAGGTGGCAAAATTCATTTTGTATGCTGTAAAGATGTACAGTGATTAAATGTAAAAAAAAAAAAAGGAAGAAAAATAAATGAAATATAAATCTAGAAATTAAAAAAAAAGAAAGTAAAAAAAAAATTCTAGGGAACCAGCAGTTAGTGTAATGGCTATGTCGCTGGACATCCACGTAGTCGACCATGGTTCACGTCCCGGACCCGGTGGCTTAGAACTCACGCCGGGCACGTGTGTGTGTGTGTGCCCAAGATCCCGAGAGGAGAATGGAGGAGAGGGACTGTGGCGTGACCATCCCCCCTGGGGGGTGATTTCTCGCTTTCTGTCTCTATGTCTCTCTCTGTCTGTCTGGCGAGCACACATGCCCTATAGT